TCTAGTCTGATGTGTCCTTTAAATTACGTCACAAAAAGATGAGTAGGAGAAGTGAAGGGGCTGGCATTTTTATGGTTTATTTTCTTTTTCTGGTTTATATAAATAATTTTTTTTCTTCTTAAAAGTACAATAGGGTGTTTTAGAAATAAATTTTCCTTTTTACTATTTTATTTTTTAGGAAAACTAAAGAAAACAAAAAGTTATTTACTAATTTCACAGGTGTATAATATCGTATGAACTGCCAATAGTAGAGAGTCAATAGACCAACAGAAGGTTCCAGAACCCCAAACAAACACCACAATCACTAGAAGTCTCTGGTACCCCAAGAAAACCATTCTCCTATCTTATAAAGCTCTCCCCGTCTCCTCCCCAATCCCCTACACCCGCAACCCCTCAACTTCCTCTGCAATCGTTTTCTCCCAAATCCAGCAGCCATGGCCGACGAAGCCAAAGCCAAAGGCAACGCAGCTTTCTCCTCCGGCGACTTTAACGCCGCCGTCACTCATTTTACGGAAGCCATCAACCTCGCTCCCACCAACCATGTCCTCTACTCCAACCGATCCGCCGCCTACGCTTCGCTCAACAAATACTCCGAAGCCCTAGCCGACGCCAAGAAGACCGTCGAGGTTAAGCCCGATTGGGGCAAAGGCTACAGCCGCCTCGGCGCAGCTCACGTCGGCTTGGGCCAGTACAGTGACGCCATTTCGGCGTACAAGAGAGGTCTTGAGATCGATCCCAACAACGAGGCCCTTAAGTCCGGCTTGGCCGACGCTCAGGCCGGTGCGGCTCGGTCACGTGCCGGAGCCCCGCCTATGAACCCATTTGGGGACGCGTTCTCGGGTCCCGAGATGTGGGCCAAGCTTACGGCCGACCCGTCGACCCGTGCCTTTTTGCAGCAGCCCGATTTTGTGAAAATGATGCAGGAGATTCAAACAAACCCTAGCAATCTCAATCTGTATTTGAAGGACCAGAGGGTTATGCAAGCCCTTGGGGTTTTGCTCAACGTGAAGCTCCGCGGGGGGCCGGCGGGAGCGGAGGATGAGGAGATACCGGACTCTCCGCCAGCGCCGAAACAACCCGAGCCGCGGAAGGAGGAGAAGAAGCCTGAGCCGGAGCCGGAGCCGATGGAGGTGAGCGAAGAGGAGAGTGAGGCCAAGAAGAGGAAAGCCGAGGCCATAAAGGAGAAGGAAGCTGGCAATGCTTCTTACAAGAAGAAGGACTTCGACACTGCAATTCAGCACTATACCAAGGCTATGGAGTTGGATGATGAGGACATTTCGTATATCATGAATCGCGCTGCGACATATTTGGAGATGGGTCAGGTATGGAATGCATATCTAGTGTTTGGTCATTGGTTTATGGTTATATTGCATAGTAGTTTTTCCTGGTGGGATTTTGTTTTGTTGAAGTTAGTACGGTTGACTATAAGCTTGTATTGTTAGCATAAATAATCCTTTCTGTGCATAATGTTATGTTTATGGGTTTGGATGAAGTTGCTTAATGCAGTAAATTTCATTGCTTCAAGGAAAAGAGGAGATTTGATTTAGAAACCTAGACTGATATGCTAATTCGGCCAATACAATAACATCTGGTGGTTTATAGAGTACCTAGATTAGCTCTTTCAGATGGGTTTTATCTTTCGTAATCCTTACTCACTTTTCTACTGCGTAGTATTAAAAAAATGAACAAATTGATGACAATGGACTTCTGCGTAGCTGCTGAGCTCTGAGCCCTCTCAGATTGGATTTAGTTTGACTTACGTGACCTCTTGTTTGGTGGTTTATAGAGTACCTAGATTAGCTCTTTCAGATGGGTTTTATCTTTCGTAACCCTTACTCGTTTTTCTACTGCATGGTATTAAAAAAATGAACAAATTGATGACAATGGACTTCTGCGTAGCTGCTGAGCTCTGAGCCCTCTCAGATTGGATTCAGTTTGACTTACCTGACCTCTTGTTTGTGTCTTTTGTACATGTTGTTCTTGTTTTTCCTTAGAGACTGGCAACTTTGGCCTTGGGATGTCCTTCTAATTATGGCTCCTCAACTGAGGCCTAGCCTTTTGTGCTTACCTAAATTTCAATCAATCTCTTTTATATAGCAATTTGGATGTGGTGGACTATTGTGAAACAGTGAAACTAATTTTGGATTCATGCGTGCCCCTTTTATTTCATATTTTGTTTTTCTATAATTTCAGTGTTGTGGTGTTTGTTTCCACTCTCCACTTGGTCATACCATGCTTATTATGTTACCTTTGATTTTCCTGGTGTTAAAGATGGAAATAGTATTGTTGGAAACTATCTGTCTTGCCACCTTGATATCTTTTAGCTTGTTAGTGATGTTGATGCAAGGGTCACTATTATATTCTGGCAGTTGGAGGACTGTATTAAAGACTGTGACAAGGCTGTGGAAAGGGGAAGAGAGCTAAGGGCAGACTATAAGATGATCGCAAAGGCTTTGACTAGGAAGGGAAATGCACTGGTGAAGATGGCAAAAGGCTCGAAGGACTTTGAACCTGCTATTGAGATGTTCCAGAAAGCTCTCACGGAGCATCGCAACCCAGAGACATTGAAGAAATTGAATGATGCTGAGAAAGCAAAGAAGGAGCTAGAGCAACAAGAGTATTTTGATCCAAAGTTAGCTGATGAGGAGCGTGAGAAAGGTTTGTCCTTCTGTTTGATGTGCTTGTAACCTTTGGATCTTTTAAATGCTTGTTTTATAACTGGTGTCTCTCTTCTATCGTACTTGCATATTTATGCATGAATTGCATCCTGTTTTCATGACTCATTTCGTTTTGGTCGAACCATAGGCTCATATGACTCATATGATGCTGCGAACCTGCTTCTTAGGTTTAGAAATTCAGTGGCTACAAGTACTTTAGTTGTGTCCGTGTGAGAGTGGGGTTGTACTTCAGTGTGATTAGAAGATTGTGGGGAAAACGTTGTTTCTGTCCATGCATTTCTAACTTGACTGTTTGTCGGTGATTTGCAGGCAATGAATATTTCAAGCAGCAAAAGTACCCAGAGGCTATTAAGCATTACACTGAATCTTTGAGAAGGAACCCCAAGGATCCAAAG